ACACGCGTGTGAGGATGGTGTTCGAGTCTGAACGGCTCCACATCATCATCATGAGGTTCTTCTGTCAATGGATTTAATTACTCTTATTATGCCCTAATAAGGCTGTGTTCCACTCTCGACTAATCTGATTAATTTCTCACAGGAACTCTCTCAACTAGATTAGTTATTTCTTAACCTAATTAGCATTTCCGAGTGCAGATTTCATTCGAATGAGAAGAAAGACGCACACAGGGCTAATCCCGCAGCGCCTATTAACTCTGGATCCCGAGCAGCAGGAGGAGGCGGGTGAACTGCATTATCTCTGGGGGGCCGATTTTGTGAACACCTGTGTCTCGTGGCCACGAATAATTACCTCACTCGCTGCTGTTTCTCCTAAGAATAGCCACAATTTACTACGCCTGCTCTCCACTCGGACAGCTGGTGCTTTGAAGGGCCGAGGGGCTCCTCCACAATCCCACAATGCTTCAGGCCCCACATAACTATGACAACAGGCCAAACAGATCTAGAGAAAACACACGAGGAGCAGAAACGCCATTCAGTCAGTGACAGACACATGATTAACACTAAATAATGTTCAGATTGGATGTAAAGGCTCTTCTGCTCACCAAGGCTGCATTTATTTAATCAAAATACAGTAAAAACAGTGAAATATTAATAGAATGTAAAACAGCTGTTTTCTGTGTGAATATCTGTTAAACTGTAATGTATTTCTGTGATGCGCAGCTGTATTTTCAGCATCATTACTCCAGTCTTCAGTGTCACATGATCTTCAGAAATCAGTATAATATGCTGATCTGCTGCTCGAGAAACATTTCTGATTATTATCAATGTTGAAAACAGTCGTGCTGCACAATATTTTTGTGGAAAAACAGCTGTTTTACATTCTAATAATACTGTTTTACAGTATTTGTGGTGAAATATATGCAGCCTTGGTCGGCAGAAGAGACTTCTTTCCAAAACATTCAAAACAGTAATTATCCCAAACATCTGAACGGTGGTGTACAGTATTATTATGTGATATATAATGACAGCACGTGTGGATGAAGTGTTGGAGTTAACTCTAATGGTAACTCTAATGAGGTGCTGTTGTCTCTAATGGAGGAAACGCGTTCACCTCAGCGCTCTCTTCTGTAAGCGGCATACACTTCCTCACAGAGGTGATTATAATTAAAGAGCGTCTTCATCAGCTGCTAATGGCTTTTTTAATCTCTGGTCTCTCTAACAGGCGTTTAGTGCTGACGGCTGTCAGGAATACCCACGGTGCATTTTAACATGGTCACTCATAACAGTGACGGATGGACGCTGATGGGCCCTCGGACTCGGGCTAATAATTCAGACTGAACGGCATCATGGGATTTACAAGCACTTTTTAAGATTGCTCGTCTTTGCCTGGGAACAATAGTAACGGGTGGGGGGGGGATACCCAAAAAGTACAATAATTATGAAAAAAAAATGTTGGGGTTGTTTTACCGTGTGAGCAAAATCAGTACGTTTTAATCCAATGTAAGAACATTTAAACGTAAATTTGATTTTCATAAAAAAAGACGGTCAGAATGACCCGAACACAACATGAGGGTTTAAAAGAGCCATTTCTTTCTTAGTGTGCATAAAGGAAAGGAAAGGAAGAACCTTTTATCTGGTATAAAAAGCCTTTTGTCCAATGGAAAGGTTCATGGACATCAATTATATTTCAAATGATCAAATTAAATTCCTCAATTTCTGTTAGCTTATTTGTTTAGAATAGCTCTTCTTGGTGATTTGATTGTTTGATTAGATTGTCTTTGTTTTGTATTGATTGTATTTTATTGACTTTTGTTGTAAGGTGTCCTTGAGTGCCGTCAAAGGCACATAAAAGGCATTATTATTATTATTATTATTATTATGTACAATAATTATGAAAAAAAAATGTTGGGGTTGTTTTACCGTGTGAGCAAAATCAGTACGTTTTAATCCAATGTAAGAACATTTAAACGTAAATTAGATTTTCATAAAAAAAGACGGTCAGAATGACCCGAACACAACATGAGGGTTTAAAAGAGCCATTTCTTTCTTAGTGTGCATAAAGGAAAGGAAAGGAAGAACCTTTTATCTGGTATAAAAAGCCTTTTGTCCAATGGAAAGGTTCATGGACATCAATTATATTTCAAATGATCAAATTAAATTCCTCAATTTCTGTTAGCTTATTTGTTTAGAATAGCTCTTCTTGGTGATTTGATTGTTTGATTAGATTGTCTTTGTTTTGTATTGATTGTATTTTATTGACTTTTGTTGTAAGGTGTCCTTGAGTGCCGTCAAAGGCACATAAAAGGCATTATTATTATTATTATTATTATTATTATTATTATAGAGATCATGCGATTGTCACAATTTTTAACAAAGCAAATCACATGAAAAGCTGCATTTCTCTAAATTATATTCTAGCGATCGTCTCTAAATCATTTCAAAGTGAAAACGTAAAAAATAAGAGATATGTTTCATCCCGACTCGTGAATCAATGCCAGAGTTTCCATTTCAACAGGCTTTATGTTTATTGATATTTTTTAACATGAGGACTGTAGGGCTGTCAGTCAAGACATGGGAATGTTTTATTTCTGAAAGGTTTTAGCTGGACATGCATCTAACATCTTCTGTGAAGATATTTTGTAAACTTCCTACCGTAAATATATCAAAACTTAATGTTTGATTAGTAATATGCATTGCTAAGAACTTCATTTGAACAACTTTAAAGATGATTTTCTCAATATTTAGATTTTTTTGCACCCTCAGATTCCAGATTTTCAAATATTGTCCAATCCTAACAAACCATACATCAATGGAAAGCTTATTTATTCAGATTTCAGATGATGTATTAATCTCATTTTCAAAAAAAATTACCCTTATGATTGGTTTTGTGCTCCAGGGTCACAAATAATGTTTTTATAACTTGATGGGAATGTTCACAAAACGTTCTTAGCACATGTTTTCATTAGCTGTGTTCCGACTGCGACTGAATCTCACACAACACACGGTTTGCTGTATGATTATTAGTTCAGATTTCACATGGGCAGGAATATAAAGATAGGGAATACTTCGACAGCAAACCTTCAGTCAAGCGTCACCGAGCCATATTTATTAGGCGGCAAAAGAAGTGTGTTGGTAAAGTAAATGGTCCTTCACACACTACACGCTGGAATCTAACAAGCCCCATTGCTCAGATGAGATAGCAGCGCTCATGTGCTTGTGCTTAGATTGCAGATATGTTCAGGCCTCGCCATCAATCTCACACAAGCATCCCCAAAACATGAACACTGTGCCATCATTTACTCACGCTGATGATGATTTCCCCTGAAACACAGAGAAGATTCGCCATGCAGCGACTGACACGGTTCAACATGAAGCGTAAATGATGAGTTCTGGTCGAACTGTTAGACCTCTAATCAAATGACCCAAGAACCAAATGAAATCTGGTCGTATTTGACGACTCAAAACACAGACATGAGATTTCATCTGTTGATTCATATTCTGAATTTCCAGCTGATCTGCTCATACTGTATAAATAATCTTCCTCGCCGAGTCAATGCATGCACTTATATTTCCTTTCCTTGAAAACGAGTTCAGATAAGGTTTGCGGGTCCCGTTTTTAGTGCCCTTGATTTTATCTCTTAAATGAGCTACAAAACAACCTACAAACAAACCTACAAACAAACGTCAGCGCTGTACAACAGCAGTCACATCCAAATAAACAGGGCTTCTGGCCAAGAGGCTGATTTCCATGAGCTCAGGTTCGTTTAGCTCTCCTGTCGCGTTAAACTCGATTTCCAAACTGCTCAAAACACGGGTTAAGCCATTCAGTTCTTCTTGAGATTTGGTGAATATTTCTAATTTGGGGTCGTGATTGTGCACGCAAACTTTCGACACACAGATGTGTTTTGGAAAAGCTGCTCTAATTTTCTTAAGATTCATGGGTCAAACGGACTCCGGATGATTTCCGTGCAATCTGCCAAAAATCAACACTTTTAAAAACACTAGAGTCAAGACAGAAAAACGTTATTATAGCTTGTCAAAGACTAACATATGAAATACACGACGACTTAACTCAGAGTTTACTCGAAATTGACTCGTCTTCTGAATCATCCAAGGAACATTCCCAGTTTCTTCATCTCTTTGAGTTTCACTGGTGAAAAAATCTGTCAAAGGTTGTTTTTGGTTGTTAGTTTTTTGGATCTTAATTACTAGACTGTTTCAGCGTTGAGAAGAAGTGTGAGAAACCCATTTTACCCTCACGGGGGTTTGAGAAAAACTCAGAGAGAAGTACAAATAATGCTACACTCTTACAAACAAAGGTGCCATAGAAGAACCTTTTTGTCTAAATAGTTCCATAAAGACTCTGAAGAACCTTTCTGTTTCACAAAAGTTCTTTGTGGTGAAAGAAGGTTCTTCAGATTATAGAAAGGCAAGAAAGAGATGGTTCTATTTCACATTTTGGCATCTGTGCAGCTAATTTCGATCAAAAATATATGGGTCAAATGAACCCCTAACACAAATAACACTAAAAATAGAAGGGAATTATTTAAGTAGAGGTCTTCTGTTTTTACACAAATCTTTACTGTTTTTATAGGGCCGATTACTGGCAAACTGAATTTAGGGTTAGGGTTAGGGTTAGGGTTAGGCAAGGTCGTAAGCCAGTTTTGAACACAGCAGACGGGTCGAGGTGCATCAGGCCTCTGGTTCATACGACAGTCAGTGCATCGCTGCACTATTTCGATAATGATGAAGAGCACAGTGTGTGTTTGTGCACCTGCGTGTGTCACGCTAAATGGCTCCTTGAGTGCTGAAAACAAGCAGCTGTGAAACGAGACAAAACCTCACTCAGAAACACACTGCCTCGTTCCAGCAAGTCGAGCGGCCCGCATGCACACGCTCATTAGCCGCCGGAGCGGAGGCAGCAGAAAGGTCGAGAGCAGAAGCCGGGCGAGGGAGGATAATTGTGTTTTCAGACGCTTCTCTGCCATTCAGATGAAATGACGTGTGGCGGTAACTCCCTTTCCCAGCAGCCCATTTCATCTCCGTCATCCGGAGAACTGGTATGAAAGGATACCGCGGTAATACCTCAAGGCCTGGAGAGAGAAAAAAAGACTATTCTGCTATTTCAAAAGGAAGAAATGGCTCATTGGAAATTCGCGTTAAACATTATTATATGTAATCTGGCTTCTTTTTTATGTCATGCTGCATGTTGCAACCATCATTTGCCCGTTCTCTCAAGATAAAAGCATCCGTGGAGCTTTGAAGCGAAGGAGAGAGCAACCGGCGGTCGCCACTGTTTCAGGAAAATAAGCATAATACATGTTTTATTAAAAGCTAACCAGACGCCCTTCTGTGCAGATTCTATTTGAACAGCAAAATGAAAATCAGCAAAACTCGGCACAATGTCTTTGTCCTCTTGGGCTCATCACGCTGGGCCGTGATGAAATAATTATTTTACGCAGCAACTTTCAGATTCACACGTCGCTTTCTGTCATTTATTCATTAGCATTTAGGCTTTAAAGTGAAGGTTATTTGACAGGCAAAGCTCTGGAAGACTAGACTGTGGGTGAAAAACAGCATGAGAAAAATACCCAGATGACCTATTATTTCTGCAGAAATTCTGAAGTGCGCATTTGATGGACAGCAACAATTTTGCCGATGTAGTATGTCTGAGTTTCATTAATTCTACCCATACACATACCATATAGAACATACTTTGGTAACACTGAAAGCTGAGTCCTTAGCCATCTTCAATGAATAGATAAGTATTATAATGGTTACAACTATTCATGAGATCATGAGAAGCTGCATCACAACAAGGCATAATTCATGCATTAAAAATAAGTTTCAAACCAAATGTAGTACCTACTAGACAGTATGCAACAAAAGAAGAACAAACATGAAAAGAGAAACATGGTTAGACTGGTGCGTAGAAACAATCATAGCAAATCTTCACTCTGATATGAAAACTAATGACTGAAACACTAATGAAAGTAAGTTCACCTGAACCTGGAAATAAACAACGGAAGTTGGGTAACAATTTTCTGCACTATTTACAGGTCGCGAGTAAACAGATTTTTCCATATGATAGTGACTAAACATCTGGAGTAAATCAGATCCAGCTGTTGAATTACTGTAGACCCTTTTAGACTGAATTCTACACGTTTATTTCTCTACTGTGTAGCGTTTATCATGTAGATAACACAGACAGGAGAAGCATCTTCAGTGACGCTGATACAGAAACCTTCTCAAGTCGGTATGAATGACTATAATGAATATAATGTTGAATGTGGCGGCTGTAGGTCAGTGTAAAGAGTCAGTTTACTCTAGTAAACCACCTTCAACAACCTAAAACGCATTATTCAGTGTGATTTCAGCTAAACACGGGAAAATGCAGTCATTGAATAACAGACTGACACTGTATTATCATCTGTAGAGCTGTTTGTGACGCTGACGCTGCTTTTCCTCTATTAATGCTTTGATGCGTTATGTATTATATAAAGCACTATATACAGTACATAAATATGAAGATTGTCTTGAAGTCTGGATGCATATCTTATTTCTTATCCTCTCATTGAATACTCATGAGTGCATTATAATATAATATAATATACTTCCTCTACAACATTAGTTTCCCTTATTTTATGATTACAATAACAGTCAAATGCTTGTCTTAGTTATCTTGATTGCTTATCATGTGCATCCAATAACTCTACAAAATGAAAGACAATACAAACAAAAGAAATATATACAACAATAAATGTCTAATTATAATGGACATAATAAAAATCTGAAATATGACTCTTACATGTGACAATTTGTACCAACCTAATGCTACAATATGACAAATACTAGAGAGTTTAATTTTTTTTCAACAGTTCAGTGTAAATTAAAATGAAAACAACTGTATTAAATTAGAAACATGTGAAATAGCAGCATGCTGTGAGGCGTCTGGAGCCGCGAGTGTTTGGATTGAGTCTGGCTCATGATCCTCTAATGAGAACCAGCTCTGCTAATCACTACACTTCCTGTGCCCTGATTAAACTAAACACACACACACACACACACACACACACACACACA